TTAAATCTAAATATATTTCCAGTTGGTAGAAATGTAAGATGTGATACAGATATTATTGAAATTATTACAACATTCAACTGGAAAAACTGAGGTACAAGAGAGAACAAGTAACTTCCGCAGAGTCTGGCAACAAACACAAAAATTGAACTGCTAATTGTCATCTTAGGGCTCTATTTTTAAGTAACGCACCAGTCTTTTCACTTTCTTAGGATTTGGGATTTTGGGGGGATGATTAGTTACTTGGAAAGCTAATGGTCGAAAGAAGGTTTGAGAGTAATCTTTGTCGTTATAAACCAGCCTATTTGCTCTGCAGGAAGACCTCACACCTGCTTAAAAATACATGCAAATAGAGTTTTAGTTTGGTTATGCAAATAGAGTTTAAGTATTTTAACATAGCAAAAGTAACGGCACAAACTACAGAATCTTCCCACAGTGACTGAATATATGTAAACTCAAAAACAACACTGCAAATCCACAGTACTATCTTTTTTAATCTGTTTTGAAGTTATTATACATACTCTTTTGGTTACATATATTTTTAGAGTAGTTACAAACTTTTGCAAGTCAATGAAGTAAATCTTCAGTGCAGCATCATAGCTTCCAGGCTTTTCTTCCATATGGATTTATCATCTGACTTCAATAAATACTAATAAAAAATTATTTATAATACTAGTTTTGGTTAATTAGAGGGGGTTTTATATTTTTCTATCAGAACAGTAACATGCATAACAATACTACAGCACTGGATCATGAATCCACTGCTTATAACCCTTTATAGATTGGTTTTGACCAACTTTATGCCACCTAAAGTTCCTACTTTTCAGATACACTCACTTATTTCTGCCCAGAATTATATATTTAAATATCTTCCAACTTCACAATATACATCTTCCAACTCCACTAAAATAGACTATAAAACACAACATCTGGAAATTTTGTCAAGTTTTGGAAGTGGTACAAGAAGAAGAAGGTAGATAACAGCACAAGGACAAAGTCTGGAGGTTTAAAACTGAAAGTGTCATGTGCAGAAGATTTTGTTGGAACAGGGCTAGATTTCTTTTTCTTAGTTTTGCAAATGCAGATCCTGGCTAAACTACAAGTACTCCTGTAGTCATGTTCCTGCCCCTCATAATGCATGCTTGCAAAGTAGAGAAGCTGTAGAAGCTATGAGGATTACAACAGAGTCACTCATAGAAAATCACTCCTTTCCTGATGTCTCACATTTTTAATCTGTTTTTTGTGAGACACCACCTGGAATACCGTGTTCAGTTCTGGAGTCCCAAACATAAGAAGGATCTGCTAGAGTGAGTCCAGAGGAGGACCACAAAGATGGTCAGAGGGATGGAACACCTCTCCTGTGAAAGCCTGAAGACAGGCTGAAAGAGTTGGGCTTGCTCAGCCTGAAGGCTCAGGGGAGACCTCAAAGCAGCTTCTAGTGCCTAATGAGGGACGATGAGAAATCTGGAGAAGGACTTTTTACAAGGGCATGTAGTGATAGGACAGGGGGGAGAATGGCTTTAAACTCAAAGAAGGAAAATTTAGATTAGACATGAGGAAGAAGTTCTTCACTGTGAGGGTGGTGAGGCACTGGAACAGGTTGCCCAGAGAAGTTGTGGATGCCCCACCCCTGGCAGTGTCCAAGGATGGGTTGGCCAGCGCTTGGAGCAATCTGTCTAGTGGAAGGTGTGCCTGCCTGTTGCAGTGGGGTTGGATCTAAATGATTTTTAAGGACACTTCCAACCAAAACCATTCTGTGTTACTGTCCTGGGTTCCGCAGTAGCAGTCATGTTTTTCCTTTGTGTTAACTGGTGCAGTGCAGTGTTTTGACTTTCAGCTCAGGAACAGAGCTGATAACAAGGATATTTTGGTTTGGCCAAGGACTTTGTGAGGCTCATGCTCTGCCAGGGAGGAGGGGAGGCTGTGAGGAAGCAGAGACGGGGCGCCTGACCCAGGCTAGCCGGGGAGGTATTCCATACCACAGCACGTCATGCCCGGGGTGAGGGGTAACTGGGAGTTACCCAGAAGGACAGGGGCTTCCGGGTGGAACTCGTTTTCTTGGCCGGTGGTATCGTATTCTCTTCCCTTGTTATTTTCCCTTATCATTGTTTTAGCTGATAGTAGCGGTGGTGATTTGTTGCTGGACTGTTCTTGTCTCAACCCGTAGGAGTTGCACTCTCTCGATCCTCCTCCCCGTTCCTCCGGGAGCGGGGAAGGGGAGAGCCCTGGTGCGGGGAGGCGGGGGGGGGAGACGGACACGGACCTCGATTGTTGTCAGCTCGGCACCACTCACTGGGAGTGAGTGAACAAGCTACCTGACTGGGTTTAAACCATGACAGTTACCCAGTAATTTTTATCTAATTCATTCTATCAAAATGGTGAAATGCCCCCTAGACATCTATGAAACTCTTAACTACTTTATTCCAACCTGTTTCAGCTATCATTGTTTTACTGTGACTATCACCAGTTCCAAACTACCACTGTCATCTCATTTTTGCTACTTTAGAAATGTAGCTAAATAAAGACACGAAAAGCCTTCATGACAACAGAATCTTTCAAACCCATGTAAATTTCTATTTCAATGAAAATACATTAAAATTTAAGTATAAAAATACAGTAAACTTAGGTATGCAGATGAAGAAACTAGATCTAGTACAGGTCAGAAGTTAGAGTCTTGTTCTGTCAGGTTCAAAACAATGAAACTGAAATCAATATTGCCATATCTTAATATTAATCCTATTTCTGATTTTCTTTCTCTTAGAAAAGTTAAAATTGCATCAGAGTGAAAGTGAAAGTGAGTGTTTACTTAACAATAAACATGATACCTCTGCACATTCTCATTTGTGGATACTGTGAAATGATTCATATTTCTGGTGCTGATGACCTTTGGAAACTGCATGGAAAAATAGTGGCTACTGGGACTACATGAACATCCCCTGGTGACACTGGATGAACACAAATGTGAACCCAAATGGCTTCTTTTTTTCATTTATGCCTAACCTAATATGACACACAAATCTCCATGCTTGAGAGGGAAGTAGTACCAGTGAGTCCTCTGGCATAGAAAACCAACTCCAAACTTTCATTTCTATTATCTTTGTGTTTGCAGGCATAGGGAAACAGAACATAGGTTTTCACAAATACCCTATCTTGGTAAGACTTCTGTATCCAAAACAAGCTTTCCACAGATACATGCTAACATGAAGATAAGTATCTAACAAACTAGCAGCAGAACAAATATGCCAGGAGCTGCCAAATACCCCTTCCCAGTGAGGCCAGGTATGAAGGACAAGCACTGCGCCCACTACCTCACAGTGTTTCCACAGCAGCAGGGTAACCTCAGAAAGTGAATGCAGCCAAAGTAAAGCTTATGCTTCCCCCAGTGTAATGGTTTTCAGACCATACAATGGTCTATCTGTCCCTCTGCAGAAATGGAAGAACATCTTAAGGACAGAAAAATGAGATCTGAGATCCCTCATAGTGTCTTAAAGATAAACTCTCTGCCAGGGCTCTGCAGCTCCTACAGTTCACTCAGAACAAAGGGACTTCATTTCACAAGTGGGGACATGTGGTGACCACTTTACAGAGGAACTATGGGCTGTTTTCCCCACAGCTGCAAAAAATACTTAACTTGAAAAGCACAAATATTGAGGTACAAGCCTGTCTTTTAGGAAAAGTCCTAATAAAGTGTCAGTTAAGAGTCATGGAGTGAAATATTTCACACAAGCGGGAAGATTCTGGCTGTTAGAACTGCTATTTTGCTGTTCGTAAGTTTGGGTATGCAAAACCACAGGCAAGTTTGGGTTTTTATTTTAAATTCAACAGTCAATGCAAACAGACAGAAACAAAAAAATATTACGGCCTCTGTAACAAAAACAGAAAAGAAACAGTGAAGGAAAGACTAGTAACGTTATGTGAGAGGAATAGCCTAATGATGAGAACACAGGCCAACCATAAGCAGAAGATTAAAAGGAGACCAACCGTAAAAAAAATTGAAAATAAAAGGTAGTTAAATTAAATACCCAGCACATGCTACCTTGCACACATGAACGAAAGAAAAAAATCAGCAGGTAAAAGAAAAAGGAAGGAAAAAAAGGACTAAACCAATCTAAATATGAGCTAAGGCCAAAGGGTCAGTTGGTCACTGAAGAACTGAAAGCAACGATGAGCAGTGGACAGTGAAAAGGAGTGCAAACACTGGATGATTAGCAAAGGAAGCAATGGCATGTCTTTTTCTCTGTTTCGCTTCTACATACTTTGCTGTACATTTCCCAGACTCCCCAGATAGCTGCAGCACGTCAGCCACAGGATCCATTAACCAACAGTGTTCAAATACATGTAAGCATATTCACATCACAAAGGTGAGGGAAAAGACCATGCTGGTATCTAGGTTTTTAAAGCATTAAGATTACATGAGGGAAAGTTATGAGAATTAATTTTACTGTTTTGACAGCCATAACTCTATTCTTCACACAAACATATTCCTACCTTCTGATAATCCAAACCACAACAACACCCTTTAGCATGTGGATGTAGTCCCACAGAGCTACGTGTGGGCTCTTCAGAAAAGAGCCTATTGGACCTTTCTGTGTCACAATGTCTGGACTAAATGCACATACAGCATTCTGTCATGGATAAACAAGAACTGAGTAAACGCATGTTGACCCAACCACCATATAGATATTTTGCTTTTTACTTGAAACCACTGTACTCAAAATCCTGCTGAGATCATCACAGCATTCACAGTATCAAGTACCTCACTTGCACACATCTTTTCAAACTATTGATAAGTGACCAGATGGAAAAATTATTATGTGGTTGTTTATACCATGTCCTGTTGACTGCTGGTTATAACTACATTTATGAAACCAGCAAATACGTATTTGAGACAGAAAAATGATTTCTCTAAAATGCCATCATTTTATTGTCGTAATGAAAGCGCAGATGCAGTGATGTATATTTGAATAATATACTTGGAGGCAAAATAGTCCCATGTTACTCACCTTGATCTCTTTCATGCCATGTCCGACTCCCCGCAGCTGGTGAATTTGGAGAAGGATAAAAGTCTCCTGTCGGGCTTGGCTCCATATTTTCATCTATGGAGATAGTTTTGGGTCTTTTGCTGTAATGTGAGATTTGGCAATGAATATGATACACAGCTACTAATGGAATATAGACTGCTTTGATTACAAGAAATATTTCAATAGAAAGTAAAATAGAAAGTAATTCAAATATGCAAAGCACAAAGAAAGTGGATAGTAAAGCCTACATTAACTTAGATGATGTTATTTAATAATATGTAATGCAGGCATGTGCTTGCATTTTCCACATGATTTAATATTTCAAAGATGGCATGAATGGGTAACATAAAAGTCTACCAGCATTTGGCTGAACAAATGAGAAACCAGTTCCTGTAATGTACCAGTGAAAGGTTGTGTCATGAGAGTGTTGAACACTAGCAGAAACCACAAAAGCACTGGAAAACCATGACTGATAAAGGCAAACCAGGAACTTTTCTGAACATGTTGATAAGAAAAAAATGTAGTTTACTGTATTTCAGCAGTCAAAATTCTAAGCTTTTCAAAGACTTTTCATTTCAGAATATTTTAATTAAAAAAAAAAAAAAAAGAAAGAAAAAAAGGCCCATATTTCAACTCCGCTATATAAAATCAGTGGACACTTCAACGCCGTGGAGGGAGTGGAAGCTTCTTTTTAACAATATATACTGAAGCTGTTATGCTGGCTGCCATAGAAAACCAGTGTGAAGGTTTTAATGGTGGTGGTGGTATTATTGTTATTACTGTTGTTAGGACAACACTGTGAGAATTAACTCGTGCATTTCTAAAATGTAGCAGGTGAAATGCCAAGCTGAAAATATAGTGGAACTAAATAGGGTATATGAGCAAAATAGCTCAGAAGCACCAGACGCTAGCAGAAAAACACCCTAGTCCCTAGCAGACTGTTAGACCCTATACCACTGTGTAGATATTTCCTGACTCACTGGGTTGGAGAAACATGGGTTAATGTGAGGTCCTACAGTGCTCACGATTTCATGGTACGTCGGACGGTTTCAGAAAACCAAGGGGCCCTAGGGGCAAGACTGTACATGATTTGGGAGTCAGAAGGAAGGCACAGCAGGTTCTCCATCTCTGTGGCCCACCAACTGCTTCTGAGGGAGGGAATGTTGTCTCTTTTAGAGATGGGAGAAGCGAGCATGTCAAAGCAAGGAAGAAGGAGGTTCCTTGGATCAAACTGCCTGTAACAGGCACATGGAGACCCTTGAGAAAAAACAGAGGGCCTGTGACTACCTCACATGCTTCTCATTGTACCTACTGTGCTAGGAAATGCCCCTTGTAAGGGTGAGGCAGGAAACATACTTTCATGAGCTAGGGTGATGCTATGGATGAAGACATCTTTTCTTTATATACATGTTCTAATGCTTTTACTATAGGAAGCAGTATCTGCCCAACATATCTTTCAAAATGGAGGTCCAAGAGGTAGCCCTCTAAGACAGCCTTTGCGTGTGCAACTGCCCTGTGACTCTGAGCCCTGCCAGCAGGTTCCCAGCTGCTCGACCTTCCTGCAGCAGTTTCAGGATGAATAGCTGTTATCTTGGCAGATGATTCTGTGAACACTTCAAACCCTAACAAATATTATCATCTTCAATATCAACAGCAATGACAAGCAATAATGACACTGCTTCAAAATCTGAAACACAGATATTTGTATTTAGATTATGGTAACATACATAGGCAGCCTAACTCACAAAATCGGAGGAAAATCATAAAATAGTTAGTTGTTGACAGTATTTGTGAATTGCTTGTCTTAGGCTATTAAACCTGGATTCACTTTAGGATTTATTTCAAATTTTTACCTGCTTGGTGGAGAGGACAAGGACCTCTGCAGATTTACACCTGAATTCATATCATGGTAATATGGCTGGCTCGGAAGCTCTCCAATTGGGAAATTCACTCCAGTTCCCTGGGTTATGGGTGCTGAAAAACACATCACCATAATAAGTCAAATACATTATTCTATCTTTTTAGCCATCTTTTCATTTTTAACACTGGGAAAAACATAAAGATGTTACTACTTTTATCTAATTTCCTGCCTCTTTCAGAAACCAAGTACGCACAAGTTCTATCAATGTTTATATATCTAAAAAAATGAAGTATCTTCCCCAGTCCTAGAAATCCCTTAATAGTTATGCAGACATAATATATTTTTTGCATAATAGGTAACCTGGAATCATCAATATAAAAAAGGTAACACAAACGTCAGCACAAAGTCCAGCCTCCTGTAGAAGCAGTTTTGTAACCTGTGAGGCAGGGTTTGTAAGGATAGCTAATATTCATTAAAGAACTTAAACAAATAGAAAGAAAAACTTTGAGACACATAAACTCATTTTCCCTTAATGTTAACTCTTTTATGTTAACAATAGCCTTCTGTGCTATCAATATGTTTTGCTGTCTCTTTTTTTCTTTCACCCAGTGCCACAGGTACTGCCCTGCATATGTATTTCTATATACAAACACATACACTCAATGTTATCTTCACCTCCTTACAAAGTCTGTGTACCGTACACCTTGGTATTTCAAGAATAAATTATATGTTACACATTGTGGTGTATTTACCTTTGTTCAGTGTCTGTGCATTCTGCATTTTAACTACCTTTGGCACTTAAAAGAATAATTGCATGTTGTGTAATGTATCTGAAGGCTTGTATTTTTCCTGACAGTTAAAAGTACAACTCTGTTGCGGCTTGAGGTTAAACAAATTCATGGTGAGAAATCCCACAGAAACCACGTTCTTTAAAGCTTATTATTACAAATATATTGTGTGTAATAGCTGCAGAAGGTACAATTTCATAACATAACTAAAATATTGATTCTGTTTTAATCTGAATGTCCTGATACTTTAAAATGTATTTAACCACCTGACAACTAAAAGAAAGCTGTATTTCATACATCCTCAGCCTCCTACAGCAGAAAAGCTGTATCTTCAGCAAGTACAAAATAGAATATGTCCTAACACTGCAGGACAGCAATTTTGTTGAAGGACTTAATATACTTTTAATGTTGTTGAATATTAATTTCTGATCACAGCAAATTAAATCACACGTTCACCTTAAGCCTCACTATGTTAATTAAATTCTTCAAGCATCCTGACCTGGCATGAATTAATTCCTGTACAAAATTTGGACAGTTTTGGAAACTTGTGCTTTACTGTTTTTTTTTCTCACCTCATCAGAAAAGGGATCTTTTCCCTGGATCTTTCTGTCGTTATAATGTTGGTACCATCACTGCAGACACTTCTAACTATAATTTTTAAGTTTGGGGTTGGGTTTTACTTCACTTCCTAATGATGTCTTAAGAGAAATACTTTAATAGTGTTGATACAGAGAAAAGAAGTGTTCAGAAAGCAGTGTCAAATGAAAATACGTGCTGGCTTTATGTCCTATTACAGCAAATTCTTAGGTGTCAACAAAACAGATCTTATTTACATGCATTCTGGGTTTTCTTTCTGCAATAAAAGCTTCACTTGACCTTTTATTTTTGTATTTTACCTTTTTTTATTTTTTTATGTTTATGTGCATAACACTTCTGATGCCAAAACAAGCAAATGTAATTAAAAACTCAATTACAGCCAGTACTACAAGTAAAAGAAACGCTAGTGTATTATAAATTAAGCCAGCCATCCTTTATATCCATGCTGTGATTTTTCTTTTTAAGAGCTACAAATTTAAAAACAGACTCAAAAAATTATCTGATAACTTGGCAAAATCCAAGGATGTGTAAGAGAACCTTAAAAAGCAGGAAGTCGAACAAAATAGGCTTTACTACGTATGGCAATTTTACTGACATACCAGTCCATTAAGCTGTGCAGTGGGACACATAACAAATTGATTCGATCTTTAAATATTGAAAAGACAACAGAAGATTTCTGTTTATTTTATTAAAAACATGCGGGAGATGAACTGTGATACTGCGGTCAAAGATATGAATCTGCATGGTTATAGACATCTTCTATGCATCTCAAATCTTGGGAAGAAAAACAAACTTCCAGAAAAAAAAAAACAAAACAAAACAAACAAATAACTTTTCTTGATTACAGCAGGCTTTGTAAATGATTACATGAAAATGATAACTTACTTCTGGACACCCTCACAAGTTCTGACACGTTGAAGACTCCAGATTTTACAAAACTGTCCTCAAGGTACACTGAAAAAAATCACAATATCATAATCAGTGTAATAAGAAGATTAATAAATAACTACAGACAGGCTTACACACCAGGTAACAACGTCATCAAGAGTCCCAGAACTATAATACACAGCCCAAAGTACACTGAAATGCAATCACACGATCTAATGAGAGCTGAAATTCAGGGAGAGGAGCAAAAAATCTTGAAGAGATGTGAAAAAGCAAAATTTTCATGTGTGCATGAAAACTATCAGGCAATATAACGACTCGGAAAATGTCTAAAATCAAGTGCCTTTTATCAGTATCTTCAATTGTTACATTAGTATTGAACTAAGGATGGTATCAGTGGGACTAATTGCACCATAGAACAGTCCTGCCCTTGCAAAAACATTTCTGTTAAACAGATTTTTACTTAACTCTTACCCTGCTGATAGTGACTTTACCACCTCCATTACCAAATCACCATGTCTGAGGCAGATGAGGAGTTTACTATTATTTCCCACAAAAGTAGGAACTGGGCAAAACAGCTGAGCTCTCCAGTGGTTGGGTTTTTTTTTGTATAAATGCTGAATCATGTATCTAGAAACCTATGTTAAAGAAACTATCTCTTATTTGGTTTGTATTGTTTGCTTATTCTAAGATAAATGTATATGATATAGTTTTCCTACCATGAAATTCAGGCACAAATTGGAGTACTGCAGTGAACAATAGCTGATAATCAAGACTTAGCAATGTAACTAGATAACATTATAAAAAGGGAACTGAGAAAGCCAGGTTTCTGTGTAAGTCTTATGTCAATAATCACTGCATAAGCTGACCTGACTAAATTTGGGATTGCATGACATCACAGTCCTTCCAGGTAGGAATGAGAATAATTTACCAACATAAATATTTAGATCTATACTTGGTGCACATTTCTGCTCCAACAGTATTACTTTCTTATTTGCTTTAATGTGAGATGACGCACTATGAATTTCTTACTGTGTTTGCTCTCTTTTCTGAATGAACACAGTTGATTTTTTTCTTCTTTTGAAAATACACTGTCAATTTTCTGTTTCAAATGCTTGAATGAGTAAAAGCACTCTAAATGTCTAAAAAAAATCAAACAAATAATGCACCTTCTGGAATATTTACTGATTTGGAAAAGAATGGTTCAGTACTATTCTCTTTAGGTTTCTTTAGGCAATTACTGCTTTCATTTTCAAGTAATTTAAGAAAACACTGCCATTATAATCAGAAAAGTGACTGTAAAAGCAGTACACTTCACTTTGAGAGATCTGTCCTTGGTACATCTGGAGAAATCTCTACTTACTTTCCAGGGTTAGTGAAGGCAGAGGTAAAAAGAGCAGTTTTCACTGCTTCCTAACAATTTTACTAGGCCCACAGAGCCACCTTGTGCAGCACCTCTGATCTTCTAGGTGCAGGTATAAACACAGGTATAAACACAGCACCTAATAACTTAAACTGAAACAATGTGAGTGCATGGAACTGAGCACACTTCCTGACATTTCTATTATGAGGGTTATGCTGTTACACCTATACATGAATGTCAGCCTTTCCCAACTGAAAAGCCAATCCAGGAGCAAGTGCAGTGGGCATGCAAAGCACCACAGGCCCATGGAATCATCCTGAATAATGTTACGCCAATGCCACCATCTTCTCATCTTCCAGTCAAAATCACTTCACAGGATGTCTCTGCATGTGTTCATTTCCACTAGAAGTTCTGCAGATCTCCTTCTCTTATTTCTTTACTTCCCTTCATATTACTCTCCATCTAATTTTCAACAGCTTCTTTCCATGTCCATTACTTTTTCCTCTCCTATAGTCCTTTACATGTATTTTGCCAGCATCTCTGCAACCTTACCCATCTGCAGTTTGTAACTAGTAACAGCCTTTCATCTTCTGCATTCTCTTGCATCTTTTCTCCATGTATTTGTGTGGATGAAAACATGGCATGGCTTCTCAAATATTTCTTCTTTATTTAACATAACTTGGTGTACCCACACCATAAAAAATTGCATAGAGTTAATGTTTCTTTTTCCCTTCTTTCTCAGTTTTCATTTTTTAACCTAAGAATGGGCAAACTGGATGAACACTAATAATTTCTCTGACAACAGCAATCTTTCCCTTCTCTGCCTATTTCCTCCAGCAGGAGAAATCTGCAGTAGTACATGAAGGAAGATTTCCCAAGAAAAATTTGGTTTCTTGATTTTAGCTGGCCTGCAAGCAATGTGTGGCTTGAAGCCAGGGTACAAACATGGAGCCAGCTCTGGAGCTGGTAATGAGACAAGACTGAACTTCTCTGCTGATTATCTAAATACCAGTACTTTGAAGCACAACTTCCCTCATTCAATTTAGGCTAACTTCAGAGATACAACCAAGTGTAGACTGGTCAAGCTATAATTACAATAAGAAAAAGCCCCAAGGCTCATATTCAAAGAAAGTTCCCATGTATGATTTTATACGTAAGAGCACATATGGATACATGTATATGTGCACACAGACACAGATGTTTAATCTTCAGCCTTCTCTCATGAACTGTCAGGCTTTTGTTACTGGCAATACTGAGAATACCCACATAACACAAAAATCAATCTGATCTAATGCATTTGTCATCTTGTAATAATGAAATGGAAGCAGGGAAAAATTCTGCCTTGAGTGGTACCACTACTTATCAGCTGCTCACAAAAGGATGCATTGTTGACTGATGGATCACTGTCCTTCACCCAGGTTTCACCCTGCCTTGGATGGTCCTAACAGGGAAGGTGGATTCCAGTGATGCTTCTGAGTGCAGAAAAATAAACACAGTATGTTCAGTTCCAGCACCAGTGAAACTCAACTGGTCAGGAAAAAAATCCATGGTGAGGGCATTACAGAACTGTTCTTGGCTCCCAGCTGTGCAATAAGAAAATGTTCTGTGCCATTAAACCACTGTAATTTGTTGCAGAAATATGCACTCTACAAACGATAAACAGCAAGACAGTATACAGCAGGACAACAGTATACGACATTCTGACTTTATGGTGTGAGAAACTGGCTTTTACCTTGAGAAGCTGATCTCCCTACTTAATAAAAGTTAAATTCATATTCACATTATCACATTGCATGCAACAAAAAAATATGTGGTAATATTCCATACAGTGTAGCTTTTAGTGTGGTTTTTTTTTTATTAAGTATTCCCTAATGCAGTGCCTGCATTTATATGTTAAAGAGCCTTAAATTAGCATTCATAGTGTGTGATTCTGATCTGTTCAGTACAGAAACTAATGCGCTTGATAACAGTCTATTGTTGTATTCCTTACAGGGGATTTACTGTATCTTTTGATGGTCATGATAACACTTTTCTGTCTTTATTGTTCAAACCTAATGCAGGCACTGAGTACCATCACGTTCTAAAACCATCTTACGACGCTCCCTGAAATACGTTTCGGTAATTGTCATTACACTCTAAAAATCTGAGTTCTAAAACAAAAGATCACTTCTGCTAGAAACACTATAGTGCAGCTCTATATGAACAGTCAGTAACTTCCAAAATCCATGAAAAAGGATTTTTCTGTATTTCCTTTTAGGTTTTGTACAGGATCAGCATAAAAATCTGCCTTCTGTCCTTACATTTATACAGACTCAGTTCTGAAAAAATACATTTTCCAAACAATACTACAATGACCAGACCAGTGTCATCAGAATTAAATGCAAACAGGTTAAGCCTAACAGCAATTCTGATCAAGCTTCCCCTCATACAGTCAGTAACAGGAGAAACCTTCAGTAATGCCTTCAACTGCAGCAGTTCTTCTGTCTGAGTCCTTATATATATTTTCCATTCTGTTCCTATGATATAACTTCATGAGCTTCAAGTATAACTTTTAATCATGCTAGGAGTTTAAAATGGAGGGGGGAGGGAAAGTTGTTTGAACCTACTGAAAAATATTTTCAGTTTGCACTAACATGTAACGTAAAGGGCTTGTTCTCACATTACTTAAAAGCTTACCAGTGACGTCTGGCTTGACAAATCTTTAACCAGGCTTTTTTATGTCTTCTGATTTCATTGTGTTTTTATGAATAGAACGTCTGTTTACATTCTGTTGCATATTGACTAGTGCCAAAACATAAAATTGCTTCCTGGCATCATTAAACATCTAGTTTTTTCACTGATACAACCTTGATTTTGAGCAACTTGCAAAACTGGAGTAAGGATCCAATCAGTGGAGGAAACAATTTGCATTACTGTACTTTTATTTTTGTATATTTGGATATTTATTTTGGATATTAAGTCTACTTACTTTTGCAAGTGAGACAGGTTCAACATCTGTCTAAGATACTGTGAGAAGAGAGGCTGGAAGCTTCCGTACAAAATACTAGCAGTGAGCTAGTTATGCAACTTACTGTTCTTGGTGCTCCCACAGGTTGGTTTGATTTCTGAAACTGCTACAGTTAAAGACTAAATCATTTCACCTTATAGCTTCCTTTGTTTGAGTCTTTCAAAACTGATTTTTTAAGGATCAGCTCTTGCTGCTCTCTGCAATACCTGACTTCTACAGGAAGCTCTTTAATATCAGCAGGAATCCTAGTGGCATAGAGCTACTATTCACAGTCAGAACTGGTAGTGAGAACTTAGTCTCACACTGTCATACATATAGTCATCATACTTGCAGTTTGTTTTCTTACTGAATGCATTTTGAAGCCACTATCTTAAGAAGACTACCAGAAACAGGTTCCCACTAAACCAGATTATAGGCAGTTAAAGGTGGATAAGATGAGCCAAGCAATGACAAAGATTTCAGCGGTAATGTAATCTAAAACAGTTGAACTAAGATCTGTCCAGATAATGAGGCTAGTCTGGTTGCTGCACAATATTTTGGTTATTTTTTTCTTGAAAGTTGCAATCCCATTGTAACTGGGACATGAAAAAATATGTTGCAAAAAGATACCCTGGCTCCACTGAACTTTTTAACACAGTAACTAAGTAACTAGAGAAGCTGTCTGTGCCATTTTCAAAAAGAAAAGAGATTTTCAATAAA